CATCGACCCACTCACACACAAGAAAAACTAATGTTTGCATGGGGACTGCGGAAATACGTGCTATACAGTGAACGGGGTCATGCGAGCGAAGCATTCCGCAAATGAAATTCTGATCAATACACGAGGGCTTCCTCGTGGACGGACAATCTGGTGCCACCACGAGCGAAACCCGGTCTCAAAGACCCGTCAGACGACTTCCACAACGACCGGGACTTTGGGGAAATTGCTTCTCCGATTCGCCATCGTCGGCACGATTGATTGTCGCAAAATACACGTTCCCCCGCAAAAGAAACGCGCGCTCCGAGAAAATCGAAATGAACAACGTCGTCGCGAGGCGAGGACTAGCCGTGGCGCCGTCTTTCACACGTTGCGGGCTAGACTTAAAAGGAACAAGCCCCATCGTAACGACGCTGCTTGGGAGCGAATTTACTCCCGCCTGTTTCATTTTCGCGACGGCCCGGGTTCGCTCAGATGTTCGGCGAAAGGTGACACGAAGTTCCGTCTGAATTCGGAGGCGGTGCAGCTCGGCCCGGAGTAGCGGAGATCAACCTCAATGGGTTTTGGAGTGCGCGAGACGAAAACCAAATAAACATGAGCCCAAAGCAATGTGAAATAAGAATTATTACATCACAGAAAGCGCGAATCTACAAATACTGAAAAGGGTCAAGTGGGTCAGGCAAGGATACGAAAGGCGAGTGAAACGTCAACTTGATGTAATGATTTTTTTTTTTACCCTCGTGTTTCTTCCCTAGTCATCCACAAACATCCTAATTTCGACTTCAGAGATGCTTGAATAATCGCTCTCCAATGCACAGTTTTGAAAACTTTAACCTTGTCTCGATCATTTTGAGAAACCAGGGGAGCACATAATCGGTCGTGCAGTATAATACGTGCGTTATGGTTAGTGGTACTTCATTACGGGGAGCTTTGGGTGGGGTTACGTTGCACGCACGACATATTAATATGCTTACCGAGTTTATCCGAATGAAGGAAACAAGATTAGGTTTATTCATGAGTGGTGTGCTTGAGGAGCATATTTATAAGTTTCCATGAGTTCCCGAAATGCTGTAGGAAATAAATTTTGCTACTTGAAAATCCAAGGACCTTGGCACCGACAGCTTCTGCGTAGCTAAAACGGCAGGACGCGGAGCACCTCGGGGTTTTCACCCTTCAAAATGGGATGGGTAGCTGCCGCCATCTGTTATCGTGTAGATCTGCCGAGACAGTGAAGAGAGTCGTCTCTGCTGCCTTGGCGGATCCGGGATATTGGTGCGACGGCGGCAACCCTTTCCGTCCACGCAAAGCGAAAGCGTCGACAGTGCGACGCGCATGCGTTCTCACGGACGGGTGTTTCCAACAGTTCGGGGAGGATTTGGCGCTGAAGGCGCGCTCTCTAATGCAAATGAGCGAAGTGGAATGTATTCTCCTAGTTAAAAGTATACTGGCTCTGCTTTTACGTGGGTGCGTGTAGCACCTTGACTCCGCTGTGCTCTTGGTTTGCGAGGAGCCCCTGTGGTGATTGAAGTAAACGGGCGAGGGGGCGGGGAGTTATCGCATCGGCTAATCTATCTGTAGGCTGCTGTTCTAAGCCGTCAAGTCAAATGCACACTACGCTATTTGTTGGTGTGTTATGATAAGCGTTACAAGATTAGCTCAGTTACGGAAATGCCCATAGACGCCGCTTCCACGAGCAGTACCCCCACCTCCCCCATGGCCCGCCTCTCGTCGTTTGATGCGCCACCGTTTTGAGGACGGGTGTTATGGTAACTACAATGTGTTCTATGCAATACATGTGTTTTGAAGCACAGGATCTAGATGGCGTTTCACCGCACTTTATCGAACACACACTTTTAAAACGAAAACGAAAATCTATATGACGCTTTGAACGACTGGAGGTGAACTGAAAGGGGTGAGATGGAGGGGAGATACCCCTTTTCGTGGAAGGTGCACACCTGAGCCAATCTATACTCGCGGGCAAATTTCTGTGGCATTTCAGGTGTGACGAGTGCGTCTGCACAGCTATGATCGACGCTTAATATAAGCGAGCGCCCGTGCACCCATAACCTTGATTGATTGCATAGGCACGGAAAGTTGTCCGTTGCAATGGTTGCATTCGCATGAAATTGAAGTGACTGTAACGACCAAAACACTGCAAAAACCGGGATTGCTTCGCGAAGCTACCCCTTGCATCGCCTGCCACGCTCTGTACGGCGAACACTTAATTCGGTGACTTTGTCGGTACGGTCGTTTCGGTTGCATGCGAACGTAACCGACGCAGATGTTTGAACCAGCCTTAACGTTGGTTATAATGTGCCCCGCGAAGTTGTGAGATCATATTGAAGCTATGCTTTGTCACTCGGGAGCCAGCTGCGCGTGGCGATCGTCGCATGTTCACTCAGGACCTCGTGAGCCGTACTTGGTTGTGCTGCTTGCTCTCTTCCATTCGTAGCACCGAGCAAAGGTGTCAGGCTGGGGATTCGATTCCCTCTAAGCCGCTGTGGCAAATTTCGCTCGTTACCATTAACTACGCAAAATTATAAATAGGCGAACATGAACACAAAGTAGGTTGGCACAGATGACTTGAAACACGAAAGAATAAAACACATAGAGATGGACACACATAGAAAGGACAGTTATTTCATAAAACAACTGTCTTGCCTGTCTGTGTCCGTTCCTATGTGTTTCATTCTTTCGCAAAATTATAAGTATAATTATACTAAAACTTATAAGTAAGTGAACATGAACACAGAGCAGGTTGGCACAGATGATTTGAAGCACGAAAGAATAAAACACATAGGGGCGACCGTGCACAGACAGGACAGTTCTTTCATGAAAGAACTGCCATGTCTGTTTGTTTCCGTTCCTATGCGTTTTGTTCTTTTGTGTTTCAAGTTATAAGTAAGTATTATCAATTACGACTAAGAATGCCTTTGTTTCTGATGCTTATGCATTGACTCGTTGGCTGTGCATGATTTATGGGTACTTTCCCAGTGTGTAACGCTTTTTCGTCGCACACACGAGCGTGATATTTTTTCGCGTGAAATTCAGTTCATAAAGACATTCTGTGTTAAAAGGGCTCCGGGCACCTGCAATTTTATACGTTTGTCGGTTTCGCACGTGTTATCCTAGCTTGCCTAAATAACGGCCTCGCGCGGCAGGAATATGTTTATCTCGCGCTGGGCTGGTAGTTTTTTCGTTTATGTTTTAAATACAATTTCAAAGTCTATAGAGGGTACTCACTGGGGCATATTCGAGGGCGATGTCTAGAGCGCATGCTCAGAACGAGCTCAAATTAACAGGCCGAAAGACCGGCAATCTTGATGTTGCGGAACGCACGCTGCAAAAGAACTTGGGAAGCTCCCAGTGCGCATGCGCTCAGCAGGCGCACACACAGATATGGCCGCCAGTGAATGCTCCTTATTGGCGACTAAATATTTTGATGGCGCCCTGATATTATTTATTTATTTATTTAGGTATTTATTTATTGATACTGCAATTTCTGAATGGGATTTTAGCAGGCGGATAGATTTGATGAACAAGACAGGCAGGCATACAAAATAGCGAAGAAGTTGCAGAAACAAAAGAACAAATATTTTACAGAGGGACAAAACTAATTTAGAAGGAATTCAAATAAAGAAAATGATGGCAGCACAACAACACTTTCAGAAAGGCTATGATTCCTGTTCCTGACGTCGCGACCAATATTATTGGAAGCGAGCGACAAGTTCGATGGTGCGTAAAGAGCGCGGTGGAAGCCTACTCGTAGCGTTCCGAACTCAACACCGTCTGTGTTAAGAGTCTGACTTTGCCCTGATTTATGTCGATGACAGCACAAATAATCCAACTCATGACGTCACTTCACCCATTGTGGACGTCCGATCACAGCAACGCGTTAGGTCGCGCGCGTCGCCAATACTCCTCCAAACTATCGTGCTGTGTGGTGGAGCGCGCCAGAGCGCAGTCGTGAATCGAAAAGTCCCTTCCTTGGACAACCAAATTCTCGCGCAAAAAAATAAATAAGTGGTTAGCCCGAACGAAAGCTCGACGAAAGTGCTGTTCGTTACTATCTGCGCAAACTTGCTGGATGGTACATTACACAACTCTAAGCCGGGCGTCGGCCTCTGCCGTGTCTTCGCTCGCGTGAGAAAGCACTCGTCGTTCCCAGCTGGTCGTAGTTATACCTCCGCGCAGACGAGGACAGAGTCAACAGAACTGCACGTACGCTGGTTCGGCGAAGACGACATTGTTTCTACAACGATGGCCGTTGTCGTAAAAGGTTTCGCAGCGTATCTACAGTGTGCGCTTCGTGTACGTATTGGTGCGCAAAATTCAGCTGGAGAATTTCTTAACTAAATTCAGCGGGGATGCAGAGCGTCGTGACAATGTGACGTGGCAGGTTGACACGACGTAAAGGTGACGTCAAAGTTTTCACACTAAATATGCCAGAGAATGTTTTCCACTAGACATTGGGTTTGATAAATTTAGCGGGAAAATTTTCGGCGCGAAACTTAGAGCGGATTCAGTGTCACGTAACGTCATGGTGCTGCGTGACGTCACAGTGTCACGTAAACGCCGTTCGCTAAATTGAGCGGTACTCGAGTCCACTAAATTTAAACGCGACAATGAACAACTCTAGTTGTGTTGTATGTATGTTTATATACAGCAGGAAGTTAGTCAGCCTCAATGGGGGCCTTGTCTATCAGCTGTAGATGAAAAATTTAGCCAGTGCGGTGGAACCGCTAGTATGAAGTCTTTAACGTGCACCACGCAGTAGTGATACACGACCGCACGACGGTACGATGCTCGTCCAGATCGAAGGGGGGGGGGGGGAGAGATTGAACCCAGGATTCTTAGGTTCTGACAGCTCGAGTTTTCGCTCCATGGGCTCTTAGCTGCTATGCACGTGTGCAGCGTTCTGCAGCGTCTCGGTTGTCGCAGTCATTCATTTTCGGGACCCAGCAAGGAATAGTAATGTTTCGGTTTGTTCTGGCGGGACGTACCCGTACTCCCTGGTGAAGGAGATCTCGAATGAGCGGAGTCTCGCTCGCGGCGACCACGTACTGCAGCTCGCACCTCGCAGGGTAGCCCCCCTGGTCCGCTAAGCTCGTGCACATTGACGGCGCTGCCGTTCTGGGGTCTAGGCTCTCGCAGCAGACGTTCTTTGGGCTTGGCAGCTGCAGTACAAGTAGGACGATACAAGTGAACATAACGGAGCCGAGGACACGCTCGGCCAATGCAGGGGGCAGCATTTAGAGCTATAACCCAAGCTCACACGCGTGGGTGACGCAAGATTCATGACTACAGGTGATCGAAACCACTGACAGCTTAAAAAGAACGCAGTGCGTGGCGAGTCCCGACGATCTTATTATCGCGCTACAGCGAGTGAGATTGTGGTGTTAGGCGATAAGAATGCACATGAACGAATCCCAAAGCATGAACGTAGTAAGCCACACCATGCGTTTTTTAACTTGTCAGTCACTATAGCATTTACCAGGGGTCTTATACACGCGGGCCGCATGTGGACCGCGACTCGCTGGGACACGGCCTGCAGGCCCGACCAGCTACGAGTCCCAGTTCCCATGTCTCAAGCGCAACAAATGTCATGTGCCATAAGGATCTCATCTCGCCGATTTAGTTTCGCTTGAAAAGTAGCTCTGATCTTTTAACGTATTCGCATAGTTTACACTTATCTCTGTTCAATCGCCCTTTGTTTAATTTTTTTTTTGTTTGCTTCCTGGATTTTTATATTGTCCAACAATTCCGCTCCTAGGCTGCAAGCGCAAGCTATGCGTTGGAGGATGCATCTCGGCTGCGCGAACTTTCGATCACCAGGATCAACTTCCAAAGCTAAAGAAAGCTTCAAATTCAAAACTCTCGCCTTAAAAAAAAAAGACAAAGAAATCATTAAAAGACAAGTATTTGTTGAGAGTATTGTAATAAATATTGTCATGAAAGCAAGTACCGTCGAATTAACTGATTGTTTTTTTCTTTCGAGATATGTCGAGCATGATTAACTTCTGAGCGAATTGAGCAACGGGAACGACAGTGTACTTAGTTCTCTTGTTTTATTAAATATGTCACTGCGTTGGCACGGACGGTGTCATTTTAATTCTTGTTACTACTACATCAGGCCAGGGTTCGAAATTAGTCATATAGACTAGTCAAATCTAAAGATGTCACTGGCAAAACTGTGTTTACAAAAAGCATACAGTACGAGGTCTCTTCACTTTAAGATCTTTTGAATCCCTCTCACGTTGGCCCTCAAACTTTTCGGTGTGGGCTAAGTCACCCCTACACTCAAACGAGTTTGCGACCACTGACATACACGGATCTTTTAATGAGCCTGATCTACAGGGGGGGGGGGGGGGGGGGCGGTCAGGCACCTCACCTTGAAGAGGCGTGTATCAAGCAGGTCAGTTTAACTTTGTATAAAGCAACAAACCTATTGCTAAGTTACCCAGCATCAAGGGAATACTGGGAATGTAGGTATACGCGCCGCACGTGCTCGCCAATCCCGTATATATCGTTCCAATGTGTACAAAATCACAGTATAGCGTGAGAACATCACACTCCAGCACGCGCGTGGTCATCGCTTCAGAACGCGAGCGAAACACGCGCCATACGCATGAGCTCTGAATATTGGCGACATGAGCGAACGAAAGCGTCGCTGTGGTCGGCCTACCCCAATTGGCCAATGCTGACTATGACGTCAGCAAAGGATGTCTCATCGGCGGAAATAAGAGGATTATAAGAACTTCAATTTTGACGGTGTTTGCAGCGTTGCCTTGAGAGCGCTATGATTTCAGGCTTCCACCATGCCCATTACAAACACCATCGAACTTGTTGTTTACAAGGTAATGACGTCACGAAAGGTAACCGAACGAGGGCGCTACCGAAACATCTCGCCGCTAATAGCACCGTCCAGGAGCCCCTCAATGGAATGGTCTATAGAAGATTTGAACTAAGTAACAAAAATGAGGCCTTCACGAACGCGCGCGCAAGATGCCGTTTGTTTTAAGCTTTGTATTAGAACAGTTACTGCTTCAGACGCCAGCACATGCGTAGCGTAGACGTACATTCCCAGCATTCTCGCTAATGCTTGAGCTATATATCAATAGGTCTCGTAGTCACCATTACGGCTCCGAAGAGGAGCATCAAAAGCCAAGCTCCCCTGAATTAGGAGAGTAAAGCCACGAAGGGTGGAACTATGATACAATACTGCAGATCATTTTATATGAAGTTTGTGGGAGCGAGAGTCTGCCACCACGGCCAGAGGCCGCTGCCGGCCGCCCAAACTGGACAACATCTGAGGCGCGCAACAGCGCAGGTAGGACAGGCGCAGAACCCTGCAAAAGAGGGCACACGCCCACAGAAGGGAGACGGACCGTGGTCACGGAGACGTGCAGTTCGAACGCTCCGGCAATGTTTTACGTTGATACTAACAACCCATTCCTGTTACTCTAATAAATGTAGTTTCTCGTTATGGCTTCTTGTTGTTCCTCCCGGATGTGCATGCTGCAAGGCCACCCTACCACAAGTTCAATCATTTCCGTCCTGCGATCGTTACGTTTGGAGTTGGTTTCTAGAACCACAACGCGCGCTTCAGAAACTCTTAACGGGTAGTCCCAAAAGTATTTAACATAGATGTTGTTAGAAATTTGGATTGGAGGAAATTATTGTGAAGAGAATTCGATACCTTATCATCACAGATTACCAGGAGTTTCAGTACATTTTTTCCACTACTTGTATTTAGTACTTACCTATTGCACGTGACTGTCTTGTTTCAGGTGTCAATGTAATCAAAATACCCTCTGAAATGTCTGTCTCAAAAGTAGTTATAGCGAAGGATCACACTTATTTTGCTTTCTTTTTTTGTGTTTATTTTATCACTGCACAAATGTCTTTGAGTAATGTTGGCCATGAAGGGAGCGTTAAGTTGTGCCTTACAGATGTTTGTCTTGACCGCCACCATCGCTCCACTTTGAGATCTGCTAAAATAAACCAAGGCAGTGTAACCTAAACATTCAAGAGCGGCTCTTAGAGCTCCATTCCGACATTGGAAGAAACAGGGCCGGCGAATTTGTTTGCCTGACACGCTCATCGTCAGTTAAAGATGGCAAAAGTAGGCAACGAACTCGATACATAATTTCGAAGTTTGACTCTTCTAATAAAGTAAGGGAACGGGTTTGCAAGCGTCAGTTTTCTTAGGACCGAAAAGAATAACGGGAAGATTCTTTGTCTGAAACCAAATCAATATAATTTTTACCTTCGTGAGTGGAACGCTTTTTTATTTGTGAAGTCCTGTTCGTTTATTTTTATTTTTTGACGATCGAGGCAGTGGACGCAGAAGGTCGGCAGATTGGATATACGAGTAGCTATGTTAGCGTTTGATTGTTTTATATGAAATTGTGTCACACAAACATTAAAAAAAGAACAACAAATGTTGCACACGAAGCTCGTCCATGTGGTTTGTTCTTTTGTAAAACAATTGCAACGTCAGAAAACAAAATATTCGAGAACCTCTTGTAGTGCACTTGCAACGTAATAACTTGGCTATTCGGTTGGTTATTTTATTAAAAAAGAAAACTATAAACAAGTAACACATGTGTTGAAGGAATGTCCCATTCTTTATGTAACACGGGAAGGTAATGCTAGCTGTAACCAGTCTTCTGTGGTTTACTAAGAAAGGTAACCGATTACAATTACAATTACTTTATTAAAATGTAACTGATTACATTATTCAATCACTGCATGACAAAAGTATCTAAAAAATTACCAGAAAATTAAAAAAAAATGATTGCTTTTCACGTTACGTTTTTTTTTGTTACTGCGCGGGCGCCATACCGCAAGCGCTGTGTTATTGCGCGGGCGCCTTACCGCAACCGCTAGATTTGTACCTGCTCCTCGAGTGGTAACTTTGGTGCGCTACTACGCTTCTCACGCGCTGAAAGTTTTTCTGAAAATGATGATTTGGGCGTTTTGGATTACACTCAGCAAGTTTGTAATTGAAATCATACGTCTATTTCCACTAATTAAAAAGTTAATTAACGAATTTAATTATTTAGCCGACTTGTCCCAAAGATTAGCTACCCACACAATGTCCGCCTGGCCGTATAATCCACCTGCACAAACCGCCTTAGTGTAGCTTTCACGGTTTCTTTTTAAACAAATGTGTAACAATAAAAAAAACACCCTATATATATATATATATATATATATATATTATATATATATATATATATATATATATATATATATATATATATATATATATAACAACGAGCATGGTGGGGGGAGGCCGAAGGCGTGGGTATAAAACTGAGAAGAAAAAGACCCTTAGTGAAAACAGCAACAACGGACGATTTAATCTTCGACGTTTCGGCCGGAGTCCGGCCTTCGTCAGGAAGGCCGGACTCCGGCTTTCCTGACGAAGGCCGAACTCCGGCCGAAACGTCGAAGATTAGATCGTCCGTTGTTGCTGTTTTCACTAAGGGTTTTTTTCTTCTCAGTTTTATATATATATATGTGTGTGTGTAAAAAAAGAGAGAGAGAGAGAAAAAGTGAGATGGAGAGACAGACGGAGAGAAGGATACATAAACAGCCACATGCTGGACTACACTCGGCGACAACTTTTCTCGGCATTTCCGGGAAGAGGAGGAGAGCCCGCGCACAACCTTATTCAGCGCTCTAAATAAAAGAGGGACGCGTGCCTGTACCTTCCGCTGCATTGCCAGGAAAAGTTGTCGCCGAGTATAGTTGCAATTAGGGTTTAATCGAAATTATTTATTCTATTTTTTTTTTCGGGCAACGCCTGGCGTGTTACGGGATATTTTTGTATTTAAAAAATAAATTAGGCTAGTGAAGTGCGGAATGGATCGCATGAGCATAGGGATTCCATACTTCAGTTGAGTGAACGTATTTCACATGGTGAATGCTCGACGTAGGTGAGCTTTCCTTTGCATCCGTTAATAGACCGGTGGGTCTTTTTCCGCATCAGGCAGTTTTGAGTTGACTTTTTCTCCGGTGAGCTTTTGTCCGGTCTAACGGGTGAGCTTTTGTCCGCCGCCCCTTTGTATTGGTAGATGAGGTCAGTGCAGAACAGACATCTATGCCGCGGCAAACCCGGATCTTAACAACCCGTACACTGGAAACAAGGCACTCTTTGTTTAGTTCTTTATGGGTAAAAGAATGTGTCCAAAGTTGGTGTAACATAGACGAGTAACACACAGGCAGACAGATCGATATTTTTTCATAAAACAACTCAACTCAATAATTTTAGCTCTCGGAAACATAAAATTGATTACTTGCAGTTGGTTACAGAGAAGTAGTAAACGAATTACAGAGCACGTTGCTGCAAAAATCAGTAATTGACGCCTTAAGAAACTACAAGAAAGTAATCAGTTAGTTGTAACTCATTACGAATATGTATTGCTGTAACCATAAAGCTCTACATCAAGCTGTAAAATTGATAACAAAATTGCTCTGTCCTAGTCTCCTGAGTCGTTTTAAAGTTCAGCTTTGCAGGTTCAGTGTTTCAGCATGAAAATAAATGCGCCGCTTTAAGGAGAAATAACTTGTATTTCGCTACCGTAGAGAAGCAACAATAATGTTCAGTTAATACCTTTTTAGTGCACGTGGCGAACCATTCTCCAACTGAAATGCGAAAAAAATTGGCAGCCTTCTGATGAATTTTATATTATTGGCCTCAAATACATACGTCCCGGAATTTTAAAAATTGGAAAAGAAGTTCATAATAAAGATATATCTTCTTCATTACAGCAATCTGACTTTCGTTACGGCATCAACTTCGAATAGTAGTGGTGTCAGATTGTTAACGTATTGCAACTCGGGAAACTTGGACCGAAACTTCGGACTGAAAAACACAAACATATGAAGGATTACTGGGCCAGTACACAGCCACGGCCTGTTTATATCTACCGCGTGTCCCCAATAGCGGCCAGGTTCTTTAAACCGATCGCAAAGATCGGTTTCCTAACCTATCGCGTTAATACTTTGTACAGCGTTGGCCACAGGTGGTGAATTTTTTCTATTAAATTCGCAAAGAGCAACTTACATTAGACAAAAAAGTAAAAAGAGAAAGGCTTAACTCCTATGAAATCGCAGAGAAGCCACCGGTCTTCAAACCATAGGGCAAACCACCTTCCGGCTATCTGAAGCTTTATTAATCGAAATTCATAAATCTTTGTGAAGTTGGCTGGCGGACTTGTGTTGCTTTTTCGAGTCTTTGCTTAGTAATTACCAGGAAAACGAGATAACCGACGTTTTCTGCGTGTTAGAAGCAGAGACAATAAATCTCAGCTCAGCTGAGGTGAAGTGTTGAGGGCCGTTTTATTATCTCGCTATACTACGCTCACCTTTTCTATCGATGCGTACGGCTCGAGTGCCGAATTGCTCCTGAAACATGGATCCAGCGCTGTCTCCCGGGGAACCGCAGCTTGGAGAATCTGCTTTGTGTTGGCAATATCCGGCTTATCTGGAAGGAAATATAACATTCGAGTTGTTTTTGTTCGAATAACTTCATGAGCACTTGATAAGCGCAAGGCTGTAATGTTGCTTGCCTGGAACACCAAACTTGGTCGTAATTAGGTCTGGAGACTGGTAGTTTTCTCCTGGAGCATACTCTTGAAACGCCTTTTGGGGAGAGTACCTAGAAAATGTAAGCAAAGCTATTGGCCTCGATATCGGCCTAGATGTGGCGCTACTGTCGTGCACGCTATTATTAGCATTGTAGTGTTTAGAGGGTTAAAGAGAAACTGACAGGGTACTTATACTCGCCGAGGGTTTTAGTTGTACGTGACATATTAGAGCCCAACTACACAAAGCAAAATTTCCGGCTCGAATTTCGGTTTCTTTCCGCCCGAAAACCGCCGATCGAGAACTGGCCGGTTTGAGTCGCGCTCACGCTCTTCTCCGTGGTCACGGACCGTATTAGAAAGTGTGGACACAACCACCCAATTTAATCCAAGTCGTGAATCACTGATTGCACGCTCAGTGTTAAAAAAAAAATGAAACCCGTTTTTTTGTGGTTTTTAAAAAGCTAAAATTACGTTGATTGAAAACAAAAGTTGCACGGAGGAACGGAAGCATTTTGTACGTTCACTGCGTAATTCTCAACATGGCGTCGTCTCGCGTATCGTGGGACTCGCGGGCTGCACGGCGATGGCAGCGGATGACGGGCATGGGACCTTTACTTCAAAACTGTCTGTCGCCGTACCGGCGAATTCTGTCTTCTTTTAAACGAGAAATTTTGGACCGATCAAAAGAATTAGGATTGATCCCGTACGACACGCCCGACCACCAAGCCGATTTGCACGAAGACGTCGCCGAGCCGTCGCCCCCTTCCCGTGGCTGAAGACATCGCTCACGCAAGCGTCAAGCACGAAGTGCGTACTTTGAGTTGAATATGCCCGCGTACGATTTCTTTACTAGGTCCGAATGTGGCCAATGCGTGGTGCTGCCTGGCTGCCCTACAGTCGACCGGCAGCATTGCTACGAGGTGTTCAGCGGATTCCCTTTTTGATACCTGCGAACTCAATGTAGTCACTTTCCACAAAATGCAAGTAGCACATAAATCGGGTAGCGTCCGATTTCCGAGGTGCCCGTAAATGTTCTACAGCAGCGGTTTCAACCATTGATGTTTCGCGGACCCCTTGTAGATAGGCGGAGACGATGGAGGATTCCGTTTGGGGTGAGGGGAATAGAAAGGTATAAATCACTCATGATAATGATTTTATAAATTCATATAACTATTTTCTAGTGTGAAGTAGACTTATCTCAATGGCATACACATGAGGGAACTCACCCGGAAATTGAAACGTTTCTTCTCATTGTGAAAAAAGACAACTTATATTGCCGGGCTTGACGGATGAGACAGGGGTTCCCGGACCCCTAGGATGCCGTCGCGGACCTCAAAGGGTCCGCGGACCCCCATTTGAGAACCACTGTTCTGCAGGCATTGCAGCCAGCCATTTTTCTCGATCCCGTTGATCTTTCAAAAACTTGTGCAGACTCTGCCGCACAATGCCACTTTTGGATGCAGGACATGTGAGGCAGCTCTTCACGCAACATCTTGGGGATATTCTTTTCGGAGCGTATCACGGGAATTGACCACTGGCACTCACTACTCATTTCCAACTTTTCAATGTACAAAACAACGCACTATAAAGGGCAGAACAGCGAGCGGAACAAACATAACTGCAAAGAAATCGCACGGCAAACGGTTCCCGCAGCACGTGTCATCTGCTGCGCCCAACCCCCCCCCCCCCCCCCCCCAAAAAAAAAAAAAAGAATCAGAGGAAAAAAACAAAATTAAAAAGCGCATGGTCGGGTGTAGCCACGGGACTTTCGGCACCCACTCTCCATGCGCAGGTTTCGGTTTGGGTTATCAGCAGTTGCGTTTTCTTAGCCTTTAGAAAAAATATACGTGACTCTGTAGCAAAATATAAATTTGGCAGTCTTCCGACACTATAATAAATCAGCTTGCAAGAAAAAAAACTTTTTTCTTTTTTTTTTTAGGGGGGGGGGGCGGGTGTCAGTGTCTTTTAAAGGGATGGTGAAACGAAATTGGGATTTAAGAAGAAGCAATGCCGGTGATATAGGTGGGACGCTACAATCCCTACAACACTATTCGCAAGGCGATATCTGGAATGAACGGCCGTATTTTTGGAAAAAGAGGTCGAGATTGAACCAGGCTGACGAGGCGCGTCACGTGAAGAAACCTAGTATCCTCCTCTCTTCGGCTTCGCTCCCTCAAGGCCGCGAGGCGGAGGCTACGCGAGGCCGTTCCCTCTCCTTCTCGGAGAAACATGACGTGAACATTTCTGTCAAATGCGCCTCCTTTTCTTGAAAAATACGGTCATCCGTTCGATATATTGCTGTATGGGTGATGTTTTGGTGTTTGTAGCATCCCGTTGCACGCTTTTGACGCGTGTTTTGTGGAATCCAGATTTCGGTTCAGCATCCCTTTAAGGTTGCCCCATAGCATATCAGCGTTCGCGCGCCGGACGTTGTAGTTCAAGTGTTTTGAATTAATTTTGTCGACGGATATCTATGGGAAGACAATTTTAGGGGAAAATGGTGCGATCCTCTTTGGTGCTTCACTGAAAATCGAATAGCGTGAAGAGGACACAGCTGAAATTTAAGCAATCGCTTGTGTTGATGCGTCGTCTGCTCTAGATCCACGTTGGAAAGCATGAAAACCCACGAAAGATACCTCTCTCCGGGTCTACTGCACTATTTGTTTTAAATACTTGATACGTATCAAAAAGTTGTTCCGTTTCCATTGCGTGGAAATGCAACACAGCGAGGAGCCCCAAGACGGAGACTTACATAATATTGCTACTTTAAGTTGTCGAATCACAGATTCCACATATTTGTTTCCTCGTAACGTTTAGCTTCCGCGGTAATAATAACATTTGGCTTTGAGAGAAGTTACTGCTGATGGTAGTAAGGTATTCCCGTACTGTCCCAAGCCCCTAGGAGTGACAAAGTCATTGCCGCTGCAACCGATGTTTCCTTTTACTGGGTCGTGGTGTGGGCGAGTTTGACGAAGTCACAACACTTCTACTTTGTTGCGATGAAAAAAATCGTATATTTTATAGTTATGATACGCAAACAGTTCCTTCGCACGACAACCAAGGCATGTAAAACAAACTTTTCTAGTAAATCTGTCGCAAGTGTATTAAACGAGTGCAATCAAGCAACCCAGTGGCATGCGTGTTATTAGACGCTCTTCTCGCTAGTGTACCCGCCAGTAGTGTGAGTGCAACAGCTAAATACTTTTCGTCTGAAACACAGTGGACTCTAAGCGACTCGAACAAACAGCCTGCAGCAGGACACAATAAGCAGTATCGGCTGCTCTCTTTTACAAATGAGAGCGAGAAACTGTCATCAGACTTCCCGATAATTCTTCGCCCTAACCTCGCTTAGTGCTTATTAGGACTGGGCAATCGATCTATTTACTTGCAGATTAGTTGTGTAATTCATTAATTGAGATTTAACTACTTTAGTTGTTTAATGAATCTTGAGATAGGAAAAGTCAGGCCAATAAAAATAAAAAAGTTCGTGCTTTTAACTTATGACGTCTTTATTTCTTTTAGAACCCACTCTGCCACGGTAAAGCACTTCAGTATTAATAGGATTGTCATGAGAGTGATTTTAAATAATAAATCAAAGGTGAAGTTACTTCTGAAGTGGCTTCACGTGTTTATATGTATGTAGGCGTTGCAACGTCAAGCTTTAATTGGGACTGCAATATGCCATTTATGACATAACAAAACTTTAAAATAATATGTATACTTTCGTTTATTATATATTATTCCTAGAGATCAACCGACTATCGAATTAATCGGTGAATTAGTCAATGAAAGAGCGGTGATCAGGCAGGTTAATTGGTTAGTTTTGTTAACTGACCCCACCTCAAAATAAAGTTTATTATTTTGCAAAAACTACGGCTCCTACGAGATAACAAGAATGTGTAAAACCCGCGGTTTGACAAATCACTGTATTAAGATTATGGCAGCATTCGACTCGATATTTCTCGCTTTACTCAATTTCCAACGGATATAACAGAACACGACAAAACATTTAGCAAAAAAAAAAAACGTAAAAAAAAGGAAAGAACGAAGGAGAGGATAGTTTAGCCAGTTAGCCGGAAGGAGGTTTTCGTCGTCCAGATCCGTGCATCTCAACTTGCGCCCGCAACAGACGACGCTGCAGTATCCACACTCGGGTGTGTTTACAATTTCGGCCGCATGGTGGCGACACGATGTATTATCAATGCGAATAATCACTGATGGCTTGAGAAACGCAGGTCGTGGCCTTTATTATCTTAACCTTTCTCACTTCGTGATTGGTCGTTTAACCATTCTTGTCGGATAACCAGAGTTCCGTGTTTTAATATAAATAAATTTTAAAAAAAACTTGAAAAACACCCGTTGATAACATTTTCGACAAACCGAATTAAAGAAATCAAAATAAGAATCTTACAATAAAGTTTGGTCAGCGCACAAGGTCAATAATCTTAAGAAAATATCCGCCCCGTTTTTTTTTTTCTTTAATTTTGTTTTATTTACAAAAGAAATATTACCGCTTATCTCGTCAAGGTTCATCAGGACAGCGGGTGTTTCGGGTCACGACAAAAGCCACTAATCCGGTTTCAAGTTTGGGCCATACTATTTGTTCTTCTTAGAGAAAAAAGGGAGGGGGATGGGAATGTTTTTCTTAGAGTGAAAGCTGTGAATCCATCGAGATTTCACAGAAGAGGGAAGAGGGGAAGGGCAGTCGAAGCTTCTCTGTTACACACTTTAGCACGCCGCGCAGCCGTCGAGTAAGTTGAAGGATAAGACGGGGAGAACTCGAGCTTCCCAGCTCCCTACCTTGGGGAGTTGATTGATTTTCAGTTTTCGACCTTTATCCAAGCAGGACTTGTTTGCTACTTTTGTCGTGGAACAAATTAGTATTACCAGTGGCAAATGGCAAACGGCGCAAGTGCCATATCCGGCTGAATAAATATTAACTGACACGAGCGCGTTCTTTCGAATCTAACACACGTTCACACCCGGAAATTTTTCTAATAAATTTACATAGCAAAAGTCATCTCCGAATTTTGAAAAATTGGGAATCGATAAAACAATCAACTACGAAAATCTTCGAATTTAACAAAAAAAAAATCCAAAAGACATGCTGTTTTTTTTTAATTTGGAGAAAAAATGAACTCCGAAAACCCAGAATCCTACGGATAACGCAGATATCGGATTGGTGGCGGAGCAACGAGTGACATGCTCAGGAGTCGCCACGCTCTCTGGGAGTGCATATATGGAATATGGACAATGTGATTACCCGGTGAACCAAACGAGGTAAAGTGTTTACTTCTATGTATAACTATACTCCGTTTCAGACTAAGTCCGATCGCCACCGAAACTACGATTCGATGCGATCGATCAAAGCGGCGCCGAGAGTGCACCGTTGCGGCGCTCGTTTCTTTTTCGTCCGTTTGCCGATACCGGCTACACCAGCCGGTATTGGGGAGTTTTAGGGAACCTTTTTTCCCCATCCGATACGGTACGATGGGCCGTCCGGTACGAACTGCGCATGCGCATCGGATGTGCGAAAGCGGTTCCCTAAAACTCCCTATTATCGTAGCGCTGGCTGCGGTAGGACTTAGAGCAAAAATTAATATGGCCCTTCCATCTTTATTCTTTTTCTTTTTTTTTTGTTTGTTCCTCGGCTAGATCATCCTTTTACTGATGGTATTTTTTTTAAAATAGGGCATCGCTCCTGTGTGGGGCAATGAAGATCTCTAATGCACCGAAGCATATTGCTTAAATGAGATATATATGCGTTAGAATTATTAGAATTTTCACTTACTTTTCCACTGTACCCGCTTCCGTTGAGCCTGGCAAAAGAAATACGCATCGCGTTTCAGCTTTTTAAACAGATCCACCTTTGACACGAGTTATTAAAACGTGCATTGAGTTCAATATTAATCAACGTCCTCAGTAAGCACATGTGACAAACAATGACGAATCAATATTAAATCATTGACGAATGAGTAACCCATTAGAACTCCGGAGCGTAGAGTCGTGTATAAAACGAGCTGGATGACGCAAACTGGAAGATATGGTATACTAAAATCAAGAAAAAACACTTGATATCAACACAGTGTAATGGCACCTCATCTTATTTTTTTTTCTGTAATGTTACTCCAAGAATAAAAGGATAAGTCGGATAACTTAAACGTAAGACACGAATGAAAAAAAAAAAACTGTACACGAGTGAAGGCGATGAACGCTTGGTATAGTGACAAATCGCACTTCTTCCTGAGCGTAATATGAAGCCTGACACTTCGCAGGCCCACTACTCACCTTTCCTCTGGGGCCGGTGCCTCTTGTGCTTCGCGATGGAAAGAAAAATGACTGCGCAGGCCAGCAGGAGAAGAGCGAAGATTAGGAACGCTAGAAGAGGATTCAGCAGTTGGCCGGCAGTTTCATCTGCATAACAGCAAGCAGAAAAACAACGTTATTGTTTTCAAACTTTGCCTAAAATGTTGACAGTATCCTTATTTCCCTCGCTTGCTTCAAACAATAAGAGATTTGAGTTTGTTTTAATAATCACGGAACGTAACCTTTTCTAAAGAGAAGTGGGGAGTTTAGATTTAGATGAGGCTAGAAGTGATTTGAAAGAAGTTAATCTGGAAGTTGCGTACGGCAATAAAATTTAGGCTTTCTTTGCAAGGTTAACTAATAAAGGACTTGAGTTATTCTCGATAGATGCCTCGAAAAAAAATTCTTCTGAGGGCAAATGAAAAGAGCACCTCTAAAGAGAGAGGCGAAACTGCGATTGATAAAAATACCCAAATTATCAAAGAAAGCTAGTTGCGAGATGGTGACCTTGGTAATGTTTCTATATTAAGAATTTGAATGTTTGATACGAGAAAGCGCAAGGTTAACATTTTGTCTATTAGAACTTTTGACAATACAGGATTGTCATGGTGCTGAGGCAAAAGGTGACAGTAAGTCACCTGACCAGGCCGCTAGCACCAGACTACACTTGCAACAGATGCAGCAGATGCAGCAGGCAGGCTAGCAGTACTGTGATTACAGTTAACCATAAACAAAAAAAAATAAACGGATAGTAACTAGATCACTACACTACATATGCTCTTGCAACGAAAAATAAACAACCAACAATATACAACAAAAATATATGAACTAGATTACTACAATTACATCTGTACAGATAATTTAGAAGACCACAATATTAAGCGGAAGTAAAAAATATGTTTTCGATTGTTTTCTGAAAGTCAAGAGGTTTGAATTATGATCGATTATATCGATCAAACCAGGATGGAGGTTTAGAAGATTGGGAATCTGCCAAGATAGTAATTGCGTACCGTAATTTGTTCTAGTTCTGATTTGTATAAAGTTTATATTCACGGTCAGTTTAATTCAGTTTAATTTAACGGTCAGTTTAATTTAATTCACGGTCAGTTTTAACTTGGGAGAGTAAAACGTCAGACAATCGTTGATTACACAGTGCCTCAATATTCAGTATACGATGTTGTCAAAGTATTGGGATGTATGATCGCGGCTTGATGGGTTTTGAATAAACCGTACACTTTTTTTCTGCATGAAGTACGAACTAGTAATATTACATTTAGATGAAACCCTCAGACAGGTAAACACTAGTGCAGTTACAAATGAACAGTAGTGAAGTAGAGCTGACGTTCTAGCCATATCGGTAGTAAGGCACGAAACCTATTCAGCACACCAATAGACTGTGCAATGTTACACTTCACAAAATTTACGTGACATGTCCAGAGATGAATTTCATGAAAATGTATGCCTAAGAATTTGTACACGTTAACCCTTTCTAGTGACCGTGACTGAAATACTGTTTCGGCAGTAAGGTTTGCTGGTTTACTAATTGAAGAAAAAACAATATATTTTGTTTTGTTAACATTTAGAAGCAGTTGATTCGCATCAAGCCAGTTCGATATGTTTTTGAGTCATGCGTTTGTGACAGGAATAAGAGATGATAGGTCTCTGGATGAAAAAAAAAAACACTCGTGTCATTGGCGTAAAGTACTATGTCTAGCGTATGGGGGATAGCAACAATGTCATTGATATAAAGAAGAAATAGTATAAGTCCTAATAATGATCCTTGCGGAACACCAAATTTTATATATTCAGTGTCTGATGCTATACTATTAGCTACCAAAAACTGGATACGATTTGACAGATAACTGCGCAACAGTTTAAGCGAAAGGCCTCCAATTCGGTATTGTGGCAGTTTAAGAAATATAATATTATGCTTGATAGAGTCAAAAGCTTTATTGAAATCTACGAAGATGCCTATAGTGTAGGATTGATTTTCTATACTGCTGATAGGTTTTTCTCCGGTGTTAAGTAAAGCTGACTCAGTCGATTTACCTCTCTGAAATCCATATTGGTTTGCAGAAATGAGTTGGTATTCATGAAGATGATTAATTATTCTGGAATTTATTACTTTCTCTACTATTTTAACAAAAAGTGGGAGTATTGATATTGGCCTGTAATTACTGATACTATAAGCATCACCACCATCGTGCAAAACGGAAATTCTAGCTATTTTCATGTTTTCGGGAAAGATTCCAGTAGATAAGACCAAGTTGGTTATGTGGCAGACTACGTCAGATATTAAAACTGAAACAGCTTTAATTGGCACCGCTTTTATTTCATCATAACCGCTGGAACAACTAGTTTTAAGATCACTGATTATACTGACAATTTCTGTGGGGGTAGTAGGGTGAAGAACATAGTATGCGTGAAATTGTGCTTTATGTACTTTTCAAATTTTTCAGTGGTCGTTTGATCGGAGGCTCCAAACGTAAAAAAAATGTCGATTAAACTCGTTAGCAAGAGCCTTTCCGCTCAAACTTCCATCGCCTATTCTTATTTGGGTTGGTACATCAAGGGGAAAACTCGTTTCTCGAGACAATTTCTATTCGACTGTAAACTTTAAGTTCAAAGTATTTTCATACATTTAAATTAAAACCAACCAGTTTGTTGCCATAGTCCCGCACTATCTATTGTTCACAATACTCATCTTAGAGCTAACGTAATATCCCAGTGATGAATAGTTAGTGACGACAGCGGAATTAAAAGATTGTGTGGTGTGGCTGGGATGTTACCTTGTAATTATTTTGTAATTTGTCTTGCCTTCTGTGGCGTTATTTTTTAGATAAACCTTGGTGGTCGACAATAACATGAAGTGATGGGATATTGGCCTAATTCTAGAAAGCGTCTTTGTTTGCTATTGTACGTGACACACACACACCCCCACACACACACAACAAAAAACTTCTTGTACCCTATTGACTCAGCCAGTTTGGGCCTTCTACAATCTGCCTTTCGGGTTTTGAGTAAAGTAAAGAAAGAGGCCCAAAAGCTAGGTTTCCGGAATTCTGTATCATGACTCGAGTCTTTCTCTCGCTCGCGTTTGCTCCTCTTTGGAGTTCGCTCTTGCCTTAAGTAAACACTACCTGAAAGAAGTGGGCTGCTGAACGTTTTTCTTTTGCGTGCTGCTCTCCTTTTGTGTACAGCTCGAAGATTTGCAAAAAAGGTAAAGCGAAAATCCGGGCCAAAAGACAACATTTGGAAAAAAAAACAACATAAGTACACTTGTCGAAAGACTCAGACCTCGGGCCGAGAGTTATCTGTCGAGTGTTTCCGCGCAGACTTGGTTCCTCCTTCTGCATTGCGGACACGAGCTGCCGAATTTATTTTTGTTTTACTCGATCGCTGTTCCGCCACAATAGGTATACAACAAACGCAAAACACAAGAAATGTGGTTGGAATCAGCTTTGGGACGTAAAACCCATGTCCGTGAATAAGAAGTACAGACGTTGTTGATACCGAAGATACCTCTCCACGGTTCCTGACCGGCTTTGGTATGAACGCGCATACTTTAGTGTAATCCACTGTTCTATACTAGAGGGATGGATGTCGCGTCAAGCACGACAGCGTGAAGTCACCGGATGTAAGTGGCTTCTCCCGGAAGTGAGCACCCAGTGGGCTCTCTGAACGCTCCGAGCGTAAGTCGAAACAGTGTCCGAGGTACTAGTTTTTCCTAATTTCATCGCGTGAAATTCTGTCCTTTGCGCAATAGGCAGTTCGGGCAGACGAAATAAGTCTTCTGAGAAGCCGTTTCATTAGAGGATATCTCGAGGTTTTCGCGGATAAAGTTTACATGCCCTGCGCTCAAACTCGTTATACTTGTGATCAAGCGTTAAAAGGTATAGTGCTGCAGTCGCCGAACGGCCCCTCTACAGCCTTACGCAAGTTCCGTCAAATCTGAAGGGCGGACTCAGCTCTCAGTCAACAAATATTCACAAGGTCCACTTTTTTATCTTCTGTTTGGTACAAAACAGCTACGACAAGCCGAAGCAGGTAATTGACTTTATTGGTAAGTCCGTTTATTGAGGCCCAAGCCTTGTTTCTACCTTCCTTACTTTACTGCGATTCCAATCATAATGTTTACATTCAGTCCCGGCCGAGGTGCCCGCAATCTCACGGAGGCTTCTTGAGGAGAAGGCGCCGTTTAACCGCGCGTCAAAAGATCCCCAGGTGGTCAAAATTAATACTCAGTCCTCCACTGGGGCGTGACAGATGCTCGTTGTTGGTTTGGCACGTAAAACCCCCAAATTTGATTTTGCTTGCTTTCAGGCACGTGGTGTGCAGTGCTATATAAATTAGACTAAAAATATTTACTTTCAGTCTTTTCCCTGGTAAGCTTCATGACGTAATTGCGTGAATCGCGATGTTGACGCAGTCGGCGCTCTGATTACACTTCGGTGACGGTGGCGAAATGCTGCTCATGACAGACCCGGACATGTCGTGATCACTAAACTGTTGTCTCTCGAGCCAATCCCGCGGCGCGCACTCGAGTACTGTCTCGAATTTAATCACTGCAATGACGGGATTAGCCTAAATATAACAATGTGCGAAGTTCAGCAGTATCTTGCAGTTTGCCAAGCTTAGGGCGTGGCTAGGATGAATATTGAGTGGGTGTACATCAATCGAACCGTATACCCCGTCAAACTGGGGGGGGGGGGGGGGGGGGGGGGGGGACCAATCACGCGAGCCCCAGCCTACCTCATTATTCCTTTTTTTTCCCTTTCAGAACTGTGAAATCTCGTATCGTCCAATTCTTAAAGAAGGGTAAAAGAAAAGGTGATTGGTGCGCGTGATTGGCTTTTTTTCGATACCATTGGCGTTGGTCGCAACACAATCTGCACCAGATCACGTTGCCACTGGTTCTGGTTGCGAGCTGAATGGAACGAGGGAGGGGGTGGGGGGGGGGGGGGGAGGTAGGAGTTGATCAATAGCAGTATTTCGGGAGTTTTTTTTTTTTAATTATAATGTGTGGAGCAAAGATTGAATGCGTGTCTTGCAAGCTAGAAACGTCACGACTGGTATCTCCAATATGATTACTGAGAGTTCGAGCGCAG